GCGGGCGGGAGACGGGGGTGCTGCGCTTCGCGGCTTCGGGGGGAGGAGGAGGAGGAGGAGGAGGAGGTGGGAGGATTTACAGCATATTTTTAAGGAGAAAAAAAAACCAAAACAAAAATTAAAAAAAAAAAAAGAGAGAGAGAGAAAGGCTTCGACTAAGCCATTCAAGGCCCTGTCCTTGTTTGAACTGAAATTGCCGTGTTCGTCAAGGGATGGGTTCAAGATTTAGACTTCCTTGCCTTAAAAGACCTGTCCTTTCCAAGATACTTTAGGCATATTTTATAAAAAGGACGACACCTTCATTTCAAACAATAATTTTTATTTTATACTTCTGTCTATACTTTGTAGCAAATCTTTTTTTGTTATTTTTTGCTGAATTGACTTTATAATAAACTTTTGTTTAAATTACATTTTTTTCTCTTTTAAAATCAAGGCTCTTTTTTTTTTTTCAAAATCATATTTCTGTTGTTATTTTTTTTTCCTTTAGGTTTACATTTAAGCCCCCTTTTTGTGATCTCTACGGTTGGATATTCAGGTATTTTACTGTTATGTGTAACATCTAAAACAAAGAGGAGGAAAAAATTAAAGGCAGTGAATTCGGAAAGATGCCTTCGAACAGCAAGTAAAGGTAAACTCTCAGAGATGTTAGCAGCATTCCTTCATTCCTCCAGGCATTTAGATACGTCTTTCTCTCTCTTGTTCCTTCCTTCCTTAGCTGTTCATTTCCCTCTCTTTCTCTCCCTCTCTCGCTCTCTTTTCCCCTTGAGGAAAAAATGTTCTTTTTTATTTATTTTTAATTTTTTTTTCCCGGTGGAATGACCAAAAAAAAAAAAAAACAAGCGACTGTGGAGGAAAGATGAGAGATTGTGAATTATTCACCATATGCTTCACACGTGGACATCTACCTTGGATTTCTCGCCAGTGCCTTTTCCTGTCTGCGGTTTTTGTTCTCTCCTCGCACACTGCCACATTTTTAGCGGAGCCCGTGGCTCACCGGGAAGTACCCGGCCGGTTACAGCCTTAGCAGTAGGTGGCCCAGAGCCGTTCCTGAGATTGCGTTTGCACAACGAGGGCTCGAGTTTTTTTTTCCTTTATATTTTTTTTTCTATTTTTGATTCGAAGCGATAGTAAAGCTGAGGTCCGATTTGGGCTGCGCGCCGCTGCCTGTTTGGTAAGATTTGGCAAATAAAACACAAAAAAAAAAAAAAAAAAAAGGAAAAAAAAAAAAAAAAAAAAAAAAAAAAAGGGAGAACGCTTCCACAGTCCTACATGGGTGTTTCACCATCATCAGCCACCACCACCACCATCATCATCATCATCAACCACAGAAAAGCACAACGTCCCCAAAGCAACGGATGGACACTTCCTCTATAGATCCAGCACATGGAGAGGGTGTGGGTGTGAGTGTGCTCGCCCCCCTAGAAAGGCAGCCAGGTCACTAGGGCGGCCCACAGAGCCGCCAGGAGCAGGGGCAAGGCCGGCGGGAGGAGGGACGGTGCCGCGCCGCTGCCGCCTCCGCACAGTTCAAATAAGCTGCCTTGGAAATCGAGGTTTTTGGATTCCCGTCTCAATTTCTCCCAGAGGTCTGTCGCTCCTTCCTGGCAATCGGTGAGCGCTGTGAGGGTGCAGGCGTGGAAATCATCCCAGTACCTGCAGGAGGGGAGAGCAGCCGGCGTCAAAACAGGCAGGCACCCACCTTCCCGGGGAGGGAGCCCGCCCCTCGGGCCCGCCGCCCCCTCCTCCCGCCGCGGAGCCCAGCCGGGCATGCCTAAAAGGGAGGCTGGGCTGGCGGGGAGGAGCCGCTGGCTGAGGTTTCGGGGGTCCCCCCATCCCCACCCCCGCCTTCGGCACCAGCCCGGTCAGGGCGCTGTAAAAATGGCTCTGCTGGGTCTCTGGCGGAGGGGTGTTTGCCTGACCGGAGGAGGGGACATGCCCCCCTCGGCTCTCAGAAGTCAGCCCAGGAGCCCGCGGGCTATTCTCGAGGGTTTCTCGTCACCCGTGGGAGCGGGCAGGCGGGGGTGGGAAAGGCACCCTTTCGGGTGTATAGAAACCCTCGGGGGGGATTCCCCGGGGCGAGAAAAGGCCCTTACTGCAGGAGAAGGGCAAGGAGGAAGAGTAGGAGAAGAAGGAAGGGTAGAAGGAAGAAGGAAGATCTTCCTCTTCTGGGTGTCTCGCACCCACCCGCAGCAGGGCAGCGGGAGGGACCCCTGATCCGTGGCTAGATTCGCTTTCCTAGGATAATTTCCAGCTATTCGCACAAATTGCCCCGTGGTTTGTTTGGGTTTTTTTCAATTCCTTTGTTCACGGGGACTGGACCTGCGTTTATCGCCGGGGGGAGGCACCTGTCGTCCCATGGATCGCATAGGGACGGTACTGGAGGATCTTGCCTCTCCATGGGTTATCGAAAATTAATCTGCCCTCTGCCTTCTATTTTCCCCACGGCTCAAGGCAGACGTGTGCGAAGCTGGGTCTTGATTTTCTTTCTTTTCTTTTCCTTTTTTCTTTTTTTTTTTTTTCCAAAGTAGTCCTACTGCCTCTAATTTATGGGCACTCTAAGCTGGTTGTAGACTCCCAATGTTTGCTACATTTGTAATAAATAATGAGATACTGAGAAGCCAGAGTCTGAGAGTGTGCCTCTCCTGCAGTATTTCTGCTGTAATTGCATCTCCCAAAGGAAAATTAAATCTTTCACCATCTTCTTTCAATACACATCCCGGCACAGGGTGAAGGCAATCGGATGGTGAGAGGTGGTCGGGAAAAGGACTACTTTTTAGAGATCAGGATCACAGCTGGTCTGGCACTAGAGGGCAAAAGATATTATATCAGGATATTATATCAGATAATAAAAGATACTATATCAGGTGCCCCTGGGTATTTATTCCTGTTGCAGGACACAAAGCAAACTACAGCCCAGCATTTAGAGCGATGTGCCAGCCTTTTTGGGTGTTTGACTCCTACTCTAGGTAGGAAGAGAGGATTGTTAGAGTCTCTCCACACTTCTCCCTTTCTTTTCCTTCTCCATTTCTTTTCCTTCTCCATTTCTCCATTCCTCCATCTTTCCTTTCCTTTCCTTTCCTTTCCTTTCCTTTCCTTTCCTTTCCTTTCCTTTCCTTTCCTTTCCTTTCCTTTCCTTTCCTTTCCTTTCCTTTCCTTTCCTTTTTCCTCTCAACTTTCCATTTCATGTATTTTGTTTCCTGATTTTTGTGGAGCAAAATAAAAACCCCAAAACTATCCCAAAGTTATTTATGTCTAAAGATATTATCTAGTTTCTAAACATGATTTTTTTAGGGAAGGGGTTTAACGGGTGAGTTTTGCACCAAAAACAGGGCAAACTCCCTATGCTGCAACCGCTCTTTTGTTTTTGTTTTTATTTTCGTTTTTTTGGTTTTGTTTGTGTTTTTTGTGTGTGTGTGTATGTATGTGGTTTGATTTTGGGGTTTTGTTGTTCTGTGGCGGTTTGTTGTTTTTTATTTTTATCCTCCCAGACATATCGAAAATGCTCGTCTCTTTCTCCCTGTGCGGGACACGATTTTGCAAGGCTAGCGCTTTTTCTCCGTTTAATATTTATTTTGCCGCTGTTGTTGTTATTATTACTATTATTACTATTATTATTCGCCTTTATAGTTTCCCTTTCCTTCTTCTCCCCTCTGTGCCAGGAGCGGGGCGAAACTGGGGGCAAATGGGCTTTCCCGGGGCCATGGAGGTGGCAGAAGAGAGCTGGCGCTGGGACGACCGCCTCTCTGTCGCTGAGCGATTCATATCATGACTGGGCTCTTTCCTTTTTAATTACGTTTTGTTTTCCGAGGAGGCGCCGCCCCAGCTCCGGCTGTGCCCGGCCCGGGTGGGCAGGCTCCCCCCGGCCTCTGCCTGCGGAGCTCGGGGGGAGCCCGGAGCCAGCGTCTGTCCCACAGGCAGCAATAGGGAAAGGGATGGCCATCCCCGTGTGCAGCTAATGTCAGCACCCCAGTGCAGACCGGGGCAAGGGAAAGAATACGAAAGAGGAGCTAAGTAGGGAAGGGAAAGAAAAAAAAAACCCACCAAACAACAAAAAAAGAAAAACAAATAAAACGAACAAGCAAAAAAAACCCAAAAAACAAAAACCAAAACCACGCCAGATCCACGGAGGCAAAAGAAAAAATAAATAAAAAGACGTTGTAAAAATTCCCTCCAGACTTTGCTGTTCCCCAAGCCCGGCCCGGCCCCGTGGCAATAAGCTTGGAGGGACCCTGGAGCGGAGAATCCGACCCGCAAAGAGTAACCCCCGCGTTTCTTGTGTTCCTTCCCTCCTTCCCGCCACCATCCAGCCTCGCCCCCCCTCGCCCAGCCCCGGGTGACCCCCATTCTTCCCCCCGCGACCCCGAAGGAGAGAGGAAAGACCTACGCGCAGATCGTTTGGAGATTTCTCTTGTCGTCCAGGTCCTGCGGGTAGTTGGCCATGTTATCGCCCAGCCGCAGCAAACAATCCGAGAAGCCCCTAAAGACCGCATCGCACCGCCCCGCCGCTCTCACCGCCTGCACCAGGTACGCTGCGGGGGCAGGGGCACAGGTCAGCACCGCCGGCCCCCGCCCCCCGGCCCCGACTCGCCTCTTCCCTTCTCCTCCCCACGCCCGCCCCCAGCCCTTGCTAAAGGCGCGACTTGGGGAAGGAGAGGGGCGGTGGGACCGCGCCAAGCTCGCCATCGGCCACTCGAGGAGGTGAGCCAGGGGCTTTTCGCCCTTTCCTCTTTCAGTACCGGAGGGTTCTGTGTCTGTGGATTAGCGGCGTTAATTTCATTAAATATTTTTCTCTTCCCCCCCCCTTTTTTTTTTTTCTTTGAGGATAGAGGAGGAGGGGAGGTGAAGATGCGCTGCCTGCTTCTCCCTGGACTTGATCCTTTGTTAGAAAATTCCGCCTCGAAGCAGCAGGAGCGTTTCTCCGTACGAACGCAGGCGCACGCACACGCACACACTCCCTATTGCCCAGGTCGCTGGGCAAACACTGTGCAAGGCGCAGTGCGAAAAAAAATTAAATTAAAAAAAAAAAATTACTAGAAAGAGCTGCCATAGAGACATGCAAAGAAGGGACCGGGGACGCCTGCCATGCCGTGCCTGTGCTCCGGGCGGCGGGGCAGGATAGGGCCGGGGTGAGCTCCGCTCCCCCAGACCCGCTGCCCAGGCATCCCTCGGGATGTCCCGAGTCAAGGGCATTCGGTTCAGTACAACGGGAACCAGCACAAGAGCAACCACCTGCAAACGGGGGAAGAAAATGAGTTACGGGCTCCTCCTGCGTGCCCCGAGAGGGCACGGGACAGGACGGGACGGGACAGGACGGGACGGGACGGGACGGGACAGGACCCTCGGCAGGGCCTGTGCCGCCGCACGACATCCCGCACATGGCCGCAGACGCTCGGCGGGAGGGGGTACCCGGGCACGGCCAGGGGCTGGCTCCCAGCCGCCCCTCTGCCCGTGACGAGAGCTGGGGACGCCGCGGTGTCCCTAGGCCTGGGCGATGTCGCTGCGGCCAGCGGGGGCGGGAAGGGGCTTCCCCCCTCCCTTGAGGAGGAGCCCCTTGCCGCCTACACCGGGGTCCCCTCCCGCGCAGTGTCCCCAGGGGAATGGCTGTGACGGGGTGTGTGCGTGTGTCTGTTTGCCAGGTACAGGTTACAAGCTAAATGACTGACTCCAAAAGAGACTGTTTCAACCCAAATCCTCCTCTCGCCGTTTGATTCATCGCTAACATGACTTCGTGGCCACTCCCCTCTACACACACACGCAAACACACACACACACACACACACACCCCAGCACCAGCCGTCACATCAAACCCTCAGCAGTCTCCAGACATTGGCTACGATAGGAAAAATAAAGCCAGGCGAACACAAATAGAGAAGAACTGAAGACCATCCCGAGGGTAAAAACGCGTCCTATAAAACCCGCTCCATCCCTCTCCAGCAGCTACAGCGGAGGGGGAGTTGCCACGAATTTCTGCAAAAAAAGTGTCGGGCTGTGCTGAAATTCCGCGGTTCCAAGAGGAGCTCTACCCCAGTCTGGGGCCGGGGTGTGTGTGTGTGTGGCCGGGGTGGGGGCGGTCACATTTGGGACCAGTGGTGAACCGAGCATCCCTCGCCCCCGAGGGGCAGCCTGGCCCTGTCCGCCCGCGCCGCTGCCTCCGCACAGGGTATCCCCGGTCCAAAGCTGCTCCAAACCCCGCCAATAAATTAAAAAATAATTTTTTTAAAAAAAAGGAAGGATAAAAATAAATAAATAAAAATAAAAGCGGATAGACACGGTTCTTGTCTGGTTCAAAGACAACGGGATTTCTCGTGAACTAGGTCGCTTGTGCCTTGCCGTTGCCACGACCTTCCACAGCCCACACCCCCCATTCCAAGATAACAGTGAGCAGCAATGTGCAATGCAGCAGGACCGCAGGAGCCCTCCGTGAGCGACCGGGTCCCCTCCCGAAACTCATTCCTCTTTCTCCCAGTCCTGAGACTGGTGCATCCCTCCTGTCCCTTCAGCGGAGACGTAGCCCACCCCACCCCCCACCTCGGTCACCTCCCAAAATGTCAGGGATTTCGGACAGCTCCAATCTCCTTTGCCTAAATAAATAAATAAATCCCCCCGCCCTTTTTTTTTTTTTTTTTTTTTTTTTTTTTAAGTCCCGGTGCATAGACATTTTGGGAACGAGCCGAGCATCCATTTTACCGGAGACGGGGCAAAGCCAGGGGCCTTTGCAAACCCCACACCGACGACCAGAAGCTGATTCCGGGGGTGGGGAGGTGTGGAGGAGGTGGGGGGAAGGTTACCCGAAATACCGAAGGAGGAGCAGAGAGGAGAAAAACCTCCGCGAGCTTCAAAGCCGTCCCCTTCCAGGGCACCGCAAAGCCACCGCACCGCCACCATCCCCGCGGTGTGCAGCAGTATTTGGGGGTAACTTTCCAAATGACTGCTCATGCTCACGCCAGCCCGGGAACGGCATTTCCCAGCGACTCTATCTGCCTTTTGAAATTTCAATAAAATCCGTCCTCGGCTGAACCAAATAAACATAAAAGAAAGAAAATCTTCCTCCTCCTCCTCCAAACGAATGAACGAACATACAAACAAAAATTACAAGGATTGAAATTAAGGATAAGATCCAAATAAAGTCTTCCCCCTTCTTTCTCTGACAGTACAAAAACTGGCTTTCTGAAGAGTTCAACCTTATTTAAAATTGAATTGTAATACAGATATAGGGGTGTGCATCATTTAACCACATTTCCCAGAGGTCAACATTTCGTTGCACTATTTCTTTCCTTTCCCTCCCCTCCACCTTTATTTTTTTTAGATGAGGAAATGTCCAAGGCATTTTCCCTCCCTTTCTAATTCTCCCCTCCTTTTTTAAAAATATTTTTATTTATTTTTTTTCCCCTCTTCTTTCTTTGGTACCCATAAAATGCTGCAGAGGTTTTCTGGAGAGGAGTGTGACCGAGCAAAAGGATCTCTAAATAGCAATGTCGAGCTGCTTTTTTTTTTTTTTTTTTTTTTTTTCCCAATTGTATCAGAATTCCTTTGCAGGAAAATATTTTCAAAGGTCTCTTCACACCTGACAGTCGAGATAATAAAATATGTACTTTAATCCCCCTTTCCTTAAAACCCAGTTTTGGATCACGCTCGGGAATCTACATATCCAGTAGATAATCTTTAAAATTTGCCTATATAGGACCAAACTGGTCAATAACTTGGAGACTGTTTAAATGTCCGTAACTAAAAAAAACAATCAGGAAAGAATACCACCGAAAAGCCCAAGATACTGAACAAAATCAGCAATAAGCACACAAAATACACACGGGCATGGAAAGAAACCTGTTCTATTTTAAGAAACTGCATATTGAGAATTTTTTGGACCTGCTCGGTTTTTGACAGGTCTTCTCCAGGCACAAAATTAACGACTGGGCGGTGGGACTCCGCGATTTTTTAAAGTAATTTTTATTTGTTTAATCGTCGCATTCGAGTTGTTTGTTTCTTTTAATTTAGTGATGGGTTTTCTTTGGTTTTAGGCTGCCCTGCAAATAGGAAAACGTTCTGGTTCCCAGAGGGAGACCTTCGCTTGTCCCTCTGATTTTCTGCAAAAAAACTTTCCAGCTAGATCTCTCGCAAGACATTTTGTGCCTGTTCTTATTTCTCTGTCCCTCGGGGAGAGGAGGAGAATTTCTTAGCACTGGAGCCACGAAATTGTAAGTGGAAATGACTGAAGGGGATATCCGAAAACCAGATACAAACGCAACCTTTCGTGGGGACTGAGAGAAAAGGAGGGAAAAGAAGGAAGAAGAGGCGGAGGGGGAAATAAAAAGCGAAGTATGAGCGAGCATGCAACCGCTTTTGGAAAACGAAAACCAAAAGCGGTTTACGAGAAATCAGAAACCGGCTCCCTTTCCTGCGGACTCCCCTGCCTTGACAGCGTGCCGAAACGCGAAGCAGCCGCCGCGAAGGGAACGCGGGGAGCGGGGTCCCGCCGCCGCCGCCCCGCACCGCGGCTCCCCGAGCGGGTTATCCCGGCCTGCCGCTCCCGCATGCATCAGCCGGGCTGGGGTGCGCACAACTTGACACGGAATTTGGCAGTCCACTTACCTATCTGTACAGCAAGGATCAGAGAAATATAACTGCCGTTCAACTTAAGTCCCATCCTACATTTAGTAAAACCATTTGCGGCTGCAGATCTTTAAATAGTTACTTTGGAGAACGTGGGGGAAAGCTGAAAAATAGACATTGCCAACAAGTTCCGAGCAGCGGAGGACTTTGCAGACAAGGGGGGGAGACAAGAGGAGAAGGAGAGGAAGAGGGAGGCAGCGGGAGAGGGCGAGGAAGGCTGGCTGGGAATGGTTCGCTCCATTAGGAGGGGGCGGAGGAAGTACAGCCTCACGCCCACCACCGGCCCTGACGTGGGGGGATGACACCGACCGGGTTTTTTCCCCCCCTTCTTATTTTTTTTCTAAATTTTTTTTTTAATAAATGTGCACCTTGGAAGAGGAGCGCCATTTATAGGCATCACAGGCTGGATTTACCCGCTCTCCCCGTGTCCCCCCGCCCCATAAATCGCCCAGAAACTCCCCCCCCTCCCGCTCCCCCCGTTCCCCGTGCGGTGGCGATGGGGGCGGCAGCCGGGACCGTCCCCCCGGGGCGGGAGCGCTGCGGGGGCGGGAGGGGACACACAGACACAGACACACAGACACACACACGCACACACACACACACACACACACACACACACACACACACACACACGCACACGGAGGAGCCGCCCCCCGGGGGTGGGGATAGCACGGCAGAACCCCCCCCCCCCCCCCCCCCCGGGGCCCCCCCCCCGGGGCCGGGCGCCCCCCCCCCCCCCCCCGCCCCCGGGGCCGCCCCGTCGGGGCTGGCCGGCCCGGCCCCCGCGCTGCGCAGCGTGCAGTGGGACAGGGACGTGCGGGGGTCCCCTCCCCCTGCCCGCCCCTCCCCCACCATGACGTCACCCTCGGGCTGAGGTTTGGGGGGAGCGGGGAAGGAGAGGGGGGCTGGTCTCTCCCGGCCTTTTTGCTGGTGCTCAATCGCGGCGGCAGCAGCCCGGCGGTGGCACCGCGGAGGGTGGCGTGGCGAAAGGGACCACGCGTGGGACAGCCCTGAGGAGTCGCGGTGGGGCTGCCCTGCGGCTGGGACCGCGGCACCCAGCCGTCGCACCCCGTCCTCCGGGACAGGCTACAGGTGCGGTGGGGCTGGGTGGAGGGCATGGGGCCGTCCGAGGCTCCGATGAGACCTGCCGGGGATAAGGCTTGTTCTGGAGTACTCCATCACCCAGGCAGCCTCCCGGGACCGTCCTCAAGGCCATCTCCTCCAGCAGCACGAGAGGGACCTCAGGGCGCCGGCATGGGCTTCTCCCAGCACAAAGTAATCAGACAAAACCCCTACAGCCTTCTCCCCGTGCAGCTCTTTCACTGCACAGTTTCCCCCCTGCACAGCTCAGCCCTGACCTTCATCACCCATCTGCAGCATCTCCCAGAGCTAAGGGGGGTCTCGTCGGAGTGAAAATTATTATTGGCTTCCATCCCTCCCAGTTCCCTCCAGCCTGCAGTCCCACTGTGCTGGCTGTGCTGCAGGGTCCCGGGCCAGCTACCCGTCCCTCTCTTTTACAAACCACTCGTGTCAATATTCGGACCTGAACAACAGAGAGACAGCAGCTGCCAGGCCGGGTACCCGTGACTCCCATGGGCTGCAAACGCCTGAAGCCCACTTGGCAAGGAGAGGAGTTGCAGGGGGGTTGAGTGACAGTGCAACTCGAGTAAAGAAACTGGAGAGCAAGAGGGAAAGCTTCCTTGATGAGAGCTCCATTCACAAAATAGTGCTGGTGAATGCCACTGCCTCTTTAGGTCTACCTAATATGTGCAGTGGTAGCCTGCATGTGTGTCCCCTCAAAGCCATCATGAACTCCCAAGCTCTGTTTCTCAAAGGCAGGGGTAATTTTGGGTAACTATGGCAGGCATCAGCTGGGCCTTGTGGATGTAAAACACTGGCTTGCCACCTCTGTACCTTCCCGTAATTTCTTTTTGTTCCACCTTTTCTTCCTATTTATAGATTTCCACTGTGGACAAAGAGAAGAATTAGAGGACAGAGCTGGCTGAAAACTAATCTGAGGAATTAAAAAAAAAAAAAAAAGGGTTCATTTCCATCCAGCTCTCAGAGCTAGCTCAGCACATGGGCACATGGTAGTGAATGAAGTGCAAGGCACAGGCCATGAGGCTGTGTGCCCTGGCAGCTTGCCCTTCCATTCACTCCACCATAAAGCTGCAGCCCAGAGCAGGGTTGTCTTTTAAACCCTTCTGAAGACACTGGCAGTGTCAAGGAGGTGAAGGCTAAGCTTTGCACTGTGCACAAAGTTCTTCAAAGTTACAAAAGTTTTAAGATGAAGCTAAGGCAAAACACTTTTACCCGTCTCTTTGCTGCTGAGGTGATGAGTGATTTAATAACGTGTAAGAGGGATTGAATCAGCTATCAAAATGTGGAGCCATGTCCAGAGGGATGGGTTAGATAGCCCAAAAGACCTTTTCTATCTCACAGTTGGTGCATTGTCAGCACAAAAAAGGAAGAGGATGAAAGGAGTGTGGGTTGAGGTACAAGGGTATAAACATTGGACTTACCAGTTCTGGACAGCTTGGCCATTTGTGGCTGTGTTTGCTGTTGAGAAAGACAAGACACCTTTGCAGGAGCACCAGGTTGTGGAGGCTGCAGCAAGAGGAATTTTTTGTTTCACTTCTCTGCCCTACTGATAACTGTATTGGTTTATTGGTCTATTATTTCTTATTGATTTGTTTACATATCTGCTATAGTTTTGTCTGCTCCTTTTTTTTTTTTTTTTTTTTTTTTTTTCCTGAGGGCAGAGAAGCTATAGCTTCAGGTTAAAGGTTGGGCTGGCTCCAAGAGGTTTGGATTGAATATTACACTCTGCAAATCTGCTTTGGAACGAACTTTGGGGCAGTTTCCAATGCACAATCAGTAAGAGTTTAATATCTGGCTTTTGATATGTCCATCACTGCTGAAATGACTGTAGCCTCTGGCAATCTGGCCACAAATCTCATAAGAACAGGCATTTCCAGGGGATTTCTGGCCAAGCAACAACAAAAAGAGATCTCATAGCTAGAGGCATCAATTACAGAGGAGAAAAGGGTCTGGCCAAATTCCTCTAAATGTTCTTGACTTTTGGGGCAGTCCAGATTTGTCTGAAATTCAAGCCTGACTCCAGTCTTACCACCTTCCCTGCCCCAGGAAGGGGCTCACTGCACTATAGATTCTGAACAGAAGCCAGCGGTTTCTGCCCATCTCAAATAGCAGCACTCTCAGCTCTATTGGAGCCGGGGAGCAGGATGAAGTGGGGACAGTTGTTTATCAGACTGTCCTTTTTTTTCTTTATTTTTTTTCCCCAAGCTGGTATTAGAAGGTGTCATGTTTTAGAAGGTGCATGAATATCAGCCCGTCTCGAAGAGACATCAGTCTGTGATTAAGGAGAGGAACATCTGACGGTGCCCTGCTCATTTCCTGTTAGGACAATTTGCTCATCAGCACGACTTTGCCCTTGTTTTTAAGAAAGAGCTCTCCACCCTGGCAGCAGCAGCCTCCTGCTCCACTTGTTAGGGTTGGCTGCCGTGTCATGCCGTGGCGGAGCAGACGGACAGAGCCCACGGCTGCTGGCCAGATATAGCTCTGCCAGAGATAGCGCTGGGCACGGCGTGGGCTGCTCCGTGTGCCCAAGGGGCTGCGTGCATATTTGGGTGGGCAGCCCTGTGCTGTTGCTGCCAGGCACCGAGCAGTGTGCTGGGCAGATGATTTAATTCCAGCTTAGCTCCATCGAAATCATCTACCACAAGGGGACCCACCACGTTTAGCGGATGTGTTTTCTCGTTTAGTTTTTGGCTTGCTGACTGTCATGGCTGAAACTCAAAAGAGGAAGCCGGCTCAAGGTAACAGAGAGATGCTTTCCCCAGCAAAGCTGTCTGTATCCCCACAAATTCTTTTTCCCTTCATCCCTTTTTTAAAATTCAAAATATCTCTTCAAACAGCTCACACCGTGGGCTTTTTGTTTCATGTTTTCAGGCTAGTAATAGGGATAAAAACTAAATCTTTGGTGCTGTCAGTCAGAGACTGATTTATTCTGAGCATCGTCTCAGGTTGAAGGGGAGGGTCCAGCGATCACGGTGATATTTAAAAAGTCCCTCCCATGGGTGTTGAGCAATGTATTCGCTGTTAGCTCATCCTGCAGCAACACCGCCTCTACCAGGAGGTGACCGCTTGTTTTTTCTCACCGCCAGCCAGAGACCTGGCCCTGGAGGAGCTGATGGAAACAGGAGCCAGTGGCTTGTGCCTCGCACCCTCCTTCCTCGTGGGTCTCCTGAGAAGGAGGGATGGACTGACTGACAGCCTTCCCGTCCGACAGAGGTGGCTGTCCTTGCTCGTGCCGTGGCTCCCAGTCCTCAGCTGCTACCTTCCCTAGAGCAAGGTGGCCAGCCAGAAAAATACATGCAAATATCAAACCTAGCTGATAAATGAATGGCTGTTCAAAGTATGATGCTCCAAGATTATATTTAAGCAGAAAAATGATGAGAACACATTGAAAATGTGACAGGTAGGATTAAAGAAATACCTTTCGCTGACAGCCAGACTTCTGAAGGTTTTTTGGGTGGTCTTGCTCATAGATGCCTGGCTTCATTATTGTCTGGATGTGTCTGACTTCAGCTAAGCATAAGACATTACAGTTATGCACCAGAATTTGCCCCACATCTCTCTAGAAATTACTACTAAAATGGCACTTCTCATTCACCATGAAAATCATTGTCATTTCATGCTTGTGAAAATATATCTCTGAAATGTGAACTGTTGCTCTGGTTTCAAATATAAAATTGGGAAAGAAAAAAGTATATAGCTGAGTGGATGTAAAAGGGACATTATTGCTTGATAGCAAATATTTTAAAAAAATGAAAACTGCTGGTTAAGGCATTTGTAACCTATTTGAAACATTAAAAAATGATCTGATGTAAACTTAGAAAGTGATTAGAATAATGGAAACTTCAGGCCCACCTTCTGTGATTTTCAAAGGGGAATACCAGAATGCCAGACTCCTCTATGTTCATTTGTAAAGCTCAGTCTCTGTGTTCATTCTTCAGTACTTTCTTTCTTTTAAAAAGCAGTCTTCAAAAACCAAGGCATCACTTGACCATGATCAGCTTGTGCCAGCCGATCCAATAAGGAAAGCGCTATCTGTTACAGAAAGAGCAGTGTGTGCATTTAACTGCATCCTCTGGGATGTATTTTTAGGAGGGTGCCTGTGCATGCACTCAAAATGCTGCTTA